GTGGGTTGGACCAGGTCCAGAATCAGAACTGCTTTAGGATTTCCTCAATTTGTATGTGCCTGGATAGTGCTGAATAACCTATTTTCATGTTTTAAATAGTATATTTAAAACAATTATTTTTGACTGGACATGTTTCTGCCAGGATGCCATGTCCTTCTCTTGCATTGTAACCATTACCTCCTGCAGTTCTCCATCTGATAGGTATTTTGAAAGCAAGCCTAACTTAAAGCACTGGCATAAGGTTCTTTGCCAGCAGACTTGCTATTGCCATTTTCTTTTGAAGTTTGGCCACAGAAGGTCTTGTGCAGGCCCATGGGTTAACAACACTTGCTCCAGAAACAGAACCAGTGTAAATCACTCTTTCTGTGTCTGTAGGGGGCCCCTGGCTGTCCTACATGGAGAGCAAGGGGTGCAGGAGCCCCATCTCCATCTTGCCTTTGGTGAAACATCTGTCTTTTCAACTCTTTATGTGCACCTGGCTAGAGAGAAGTTTCAAGAGGAGTCAACTACTTTCCTATTTGTTAGGATGCTGATGAGAAAGGCACATTTGAGCCCCTGCATGGCAAGGATCTGGGTCTCATTGACCTGCCCAAGCTGCAGGGCAGGGTTCTGAATGTCAGGCAGCAGAACTTCTGCATGCAGTACCTGTGCTTAAAAGTGAGCAACCCCAGCACAGGTACCCCTCAGACTCCCCTGTGCTCTTTGCCTGCAGGTGAGCCCAAAGGTACTCACACAATACTTGGAAGTACTGGCTTTGTTAAAACAAAGAACCTGAACTCAGTAGTTTCTTCAGCAAGAGAAAGCATAGATGAGCTAGGTGAAACACTGGATATAAGCTCTCCCTCATCCCCCACACATCCTGGCAGTATGACCCTTCTTCACTTTTCATGACCTTGTGCCTTGCAGCAAACTCACAGCTCATTAGGGACCTCTGGAAGAGAATCTTCCTTTCCATCACCTCTGCCTGCATATGTTCACCTTTCAGTCTCCATCCTTGCTGAGATCCCTCTTTCTGCCTGTGCTCTGCAGCCACCCTTGGCCATCTCCTGCCTCATGAGCTCAACATGTCTCTGGGGTCACAGGTCGGGCTTGGAAGCATTTTGCCTCCCTCCCTGCTGCTTAGCCACAGCCTTGCTAACAAAATGCACAGTGCTTACCTGTACTCACATGGGCATCTTTCTTCCCCGGGGCTCTTGGAGGTGCATGGACTAGCCCTGGTAGCAGCTCTGCAAGCCAGCCATCTCAGTTGTTGGCCATCCCCACCATGAGACATGCCACATCTCCAGCATAGCTTAATTCTGTTCCTTTTGGGCTCCTCCAGCAATAACACAGACAGATCTGTGCGCTCCCCAGCATTGCTGGTGTCTATCTCCTTCACATACCTGCCTTACAGAGAGGACTGGGCCAAAGCAATGCTCCCCTTCTGAGGGTCCCTTGTGTCAGACTGGGTAAAATCATCCCCTAGCCTTAAGCATGAGGGTTGAGGGAAGAAATATTGCCACAGCATTTCATGCACTGCCACCTTAATTAGGGGATGGTTCTCTAGAGGTGGAGACTACAACTGGTAGAGAGGATCTGTTAGGAAAAGCCATAGGAAAAAGGGAGATAGAACCAGAAAATAGAAGTCAGATCTGCTGCTGCATACGGACATCACAAAAATGTGTTAATGGAGCAGTTGTACAGCAGGATTTTCCCATGTCTAAGGCTTACAGAAACTTCCATTTTCTTCATCAGCACAGAAAGTTCTGGCCCAGCTGCAGTACTGGGATACAGCCAAAGCCATCCTGGCTTGTCAAGCTAACTCACATCAAGGGGGTGAATGACGCCCACACTTGGCACCAGGATGCTTCACTTGATTAATCCAGCAAGATATTTGCAACCGCACCATTCTGAGATGCACCAAGGTTTTCAGCTAGGATGTATTTTGAACAAATATTAAGAAGAATTGTTGATTTGCACCATTAGAAAACATAGGTATAGGAAATTTTCTTCTCTATAAAAATAATACCCTGACTTTAAAGAGGTAAATCCTGCTCTCCTCCAATGCCAGTGCATGTATGTCTGGCCTATCACCAGGCCACAAGCAGCAAGAACAATGGTTTAAGGAATAATTAGATGTAGGTTTGTTTTTCCATGTATGGATCCAGACATTTTTGCATAATTGAACAGTGCTGTTGGTGTTTTTTCTGTTGTGGGGGTGTTTGTATTTTTTTTTTTGTGGGTTTTTTTTTCCAAAATTAATGATAGAAATAAAGTTTCTCCACAACAGTCTGATGTGACAGTATCTCTTTTAGTCTGAGACAATGCAGAGCTCCTCCATTGCAAAACTTCCACTCCTGGTGTTCAGCAACAGGAGGTACTCCAAAAAACTTTCCCACCAGAGCAGAGATGTCAAAACACATATATTTAATCTTGAAAAAAAAAGTCAATGTATCAAAAATCAAATTGTTCTTGGAAATAAATAATTCCAGTCTGCAATGCTCCACTTGCAGGGCTATACTTGTAATATAGACCTTCATAATTTGAATTCTGTCATCCTTTTTCTTTAAGGGTTGGAATTATCCTTCCAAGCTTTACAGCTAAAGTACAACTTTCTCCCAGTGCTCAGAAGCAGGTGTGCTCTAACTGCTGCTAGGGACTTTGCTATGGTTTTATTTGAGGGAGACAGGTTTCATTTTCTGAGCTGCCAGCTCTTACAGCCACTCAGCAACTTTGATATGCACCTCTCCAGAGCCAGTTACGGGGCAGGTTGCACCACCTAGAATTGGCTTCACAAGAATCAAGAGTACCCCCCACTCCTTGCAGAAGGCACGCAGGAACAGGCAAAACCTGAACTACCTTTGATACTTCCAACGTCAATTAATAACAATTCCCTAGTAACAGCTGAGATTTTGTCTTGATCTACAGCTTCTCAGAAGAACTTGTACATCTGTTCCCACAGCTAAAAGTTGCAGCTCTGATTTGTTAAACTAGCCCCCAGCTAACCCATTTCATGGGAACTGACTGCTAGAACACCCGATTGATGTCTTTAAAAGGCTCTGAGCAGCAAGTGACCTTCAGTTCTTAGACGGGTAACTTGTTTCTGTAAATCCTCCCATAGGAGGGAGATGAGAATATACTCAATCCACTCTCATTTTTTCTTCATACATTTATTCTGCATGTAAGCTTAACTGATTCACAGCAGGAACATCTAGTAGATCTGCAGCAATTGTTATTTCTAAGTTCTCCCAGCTCTAATGAGGAAGGCCAAGTATCTTGATTCACTGCACTATGTTGCTGCACAAGGTATGTCAGTACCTTGGAAAGACAAAAGGCATAGTCAGACCCATAGGCTATTTCTCAAAAAAGGGGTGAAAGGATCTCTACTTTCTTCTGCAGGGTAGTATGTTTCTCTAGAGCATGAACCAAGGAGGGAACTAACACGTTACTTGTCTGTGCCACTTGGAGAAAATGGGAGGGAGTAAAATTTAAAGACAGAACAATTTATTTGTTCCCTCAAAGTACATGCTCCCTTAAAAAACTGCTGTGCTTCTCAAAGGTAACAGAATCTGCATCTTCATCATCCCCAGACTGTAAAGATTAGATGCAAACAGGGCTGCATCTCTCCATGTCTAAGGATCTAGCTGAATCCAAACAAAGGTATTATGTTTCCCAGTTCATAAGCCAAGAAGTGTTTTTTATGGGAAAATGCATGCTACTGCATGTAACATCCATTGAAAATTTTCCCAAATCCATACAACACAGGGTCTGTGCTCTCCTTGACACAAAAGGAGTGTCTAATGATGCTAAAACATTACAGAATAAACAGGAAGATACTTACACTGGTATTTGAAGGAACAGTGTGACAGATAAACCCACCACTGAACAGCCAAAAAAATAATTTAAAAAAAGGTAACAAAGAAGTCAGTTAACTGCTTGGCTAGGAGCTGGCTTATGAAATACAAGCTGTAAACCACAAGCTGTGCAGAACTGGAGAACCACAGCTGAAGATACTCTGCCCTTTTCTCCTGCAGAGCAGCAAAGCAGCAAACCGTTAGCAGCAGAAGGCACGTGATCTTCAGGCACACCACAAAGCCACGCTGCTGCTCTAAGGTCCCCTGCAGCAACTCCTTTTTATGCAGAATCTGCCTTTAATCACCTCTAGTAGATGACCATAGGCCCCATCCAATTAGGTCTGACTGATATAATCTAAGGACCATTATTTGCAAATCATGGAGCAGCAGGTTGCTTCTAAGATAAATAAATTAGTAAGAAAAATTTCTGAATACCAAGTCCCTGGCCTGGCAAGTACTCCACCTGTATCAGAGGAACTGATCAACAAAGTGTATCTCATGATACTTTTGGATGCAGGACTGTTCACATGCTATGCACAAGAAGCAAACAGAGACACCTGCCAACTCACCTGACCTCTCTATATTCTATGAATTGGAAGCTGATAAATGTAATTTATCTGTGTCTATCCTTAGCTTCACTGCCACTGAAAGTACCACTGCATGACACTGACAGCACTACAAATTTAGCATTCCCCAGAATCTCTCGAGTCCCAAGAGTTTTCTCCATCAACTCTGCCCATTTAATTTGGTAAACAGTGACATTTTCCGCTTTACAATTGAAGCTAAAAATAACCTCTTTCATTTCATAACTTCCTGAACTTAATCAGAAATGTGTTTTATGCAACAGCACAAACACTGGAAACAAACTGGGGTTATGAATAGCTCTGAAGAACCAACAGGCGATCAAAGTAAATTACGCATTGAAAGAACCAGCTCTCCCTCTTCAGGACAGGACTGTGCTTTGAACAGATTACAAAATACCACAAATTGGAAACCAATACATGCTCTTTAAACACACATTTCCAAGAAAACAATTAAAAACACTAAGCTTTTTTTTCCCCTTCATAGTTTATTGAATGAAATTGAACAAAACAAAACATAGAGAAACACAAAAAAGATCTGTTTTCCTCATGTCTCATCTTGTAAGGCAGTCCTTAAGAATGAGCATCAAGGAGCTCCTCCAAGTACAAAGGCCAAGAGAGACCACAGTGCCACAATACTGGAGACTCTACAGGGCAAGAATAATAACATGCTGTTAGGCTACTTACATTTACATTTAGAGCTTATTTTTTTTCTTATTAAGCACAGAGATTCTTTTCTGAACTGTGTCAGGCCAGAAATTCACCCTTCATGAGCACTGCTGTCACCACTTCATGACAGGGGAATCCGGAATTCTCTGCTACTACCAAGCTTTCAACTTTGCTGTAGAAAAATACACATCCATCCCACACCTGGAAGACTACCTCTTTTCTCCTCAGGCTTCTTAGAGCCAGCGCTACAGATGACCCTCGGTCTGTTATGGTAGCACATACATGGCTTTATGCTATTTGTGAGATAACATTCCCTGGTTAATCAGGATGGAGATTGAAGTCCATCTGTGCAGGGCTGAAAGCTCACAAACAGCCCCCCAGCAGTCAGCAAGGGAACCCGCATCTGCACCCCGCGCTCTCCTGAAGGGCTGGCAGAGGGCACAGCCAGAGAGGGGCAGGCAGAGCTGCTGCGGCAGGGCCAGGCATCCCTAGAGGAATGATCGCCTTTCTCCCTGCCCGTTCCCCCGATGTCAGTAACTCACTGCAGCAGGCAGTTGACTGGCGGGGAGTGCCTCCAGTGGCGGTAGATGGAAACCCGCAGATGGGGGTGATGCCTGTAATCTCGCAGAACAAGCCGGACGCTGTAATGACAGCAGACGTGCTGAGCTGGGACTTGCAGGCTGCTCACTGCATCCCGCAGCTCAGGACAGCGACCTCTCTATCTGAGAGCTGTCACAGCACAGGAAGGGTGGGATGAAGACTTGGATCAAAGAGGATCAAAGGACAGAAAATTAAGACATTCTGGTCACTTACTGCTTAAATTTATTGGACAGCAGAATGAACTGATTCTTTGAAAGCCGTCTGACATCAAAGCGACAAAGAGCTCTAAACTCTTGGTAAATCTGCCTCTCATTCAGCCCTGGCCAGTCTCGGACATGGACAACCAAGACAGGCGGATGCTGGCTGGGAGTGTCTTCCCCAGAAAAATTCTGGAAAATGTACAATACTGAGACATACCTGAGTTCTGAAATACTATAGAAGTACTACTAATATAAGCAGAAAATATACAAAACGTGACACATAAGGAAGAATGGTTGCATACCTGCCTTTGGTGTAAAATTATTTTTCTTTTGTCTCATGGTTTGTCTCTACACATGAGCCATAAAAGCAAACTGTCACAATTACCATGGAGAAACCTCCAGAGCAATAGCAAGCTCTCTTCCAGAGCAAGGAGATTAGGGCAACAGACATTGACTAAAGCCATCTCACAGGAAACCATATGAACACATTTCACAAAGCAGAAATTCAACTCATCTGCCATTCTGAAAGGTCAGGCCTCTCATTTGTATGACAACAACTTCTGCCAAGGTGGGCCCAGGCACTAGTGGATTTTCCTCCTCTTAACAAAGCCATGATCTAGGCTACTGACCTACGCACTCCGCAAACTGGTCACAGACTTGCAATTCATACTCACAATGCTTGAAACACCACCTCGGATGCAATTCACTTTGTTCAGATACTCAGCTAACACGGAGAGATACTGAGAGAAAGAAGGATCAGCCTCCGCTGCACCGCTACATCAGAAAACAAAATGGGACAAGATTTTGTTTCTCCAGTGCTGCACTGCTCCACAGTGTCTCTGGAGAACAGAGCTCCTGAAAAACCTCTTCAACTAGTGACAAAATAGGTATTTTAGATCTTGGTATCTTCTACAGAAGTCAAAAAGCTGCAAGCAAAGGGAAGGGATTTTAACAGTTGCCTCTTAGGAACTTAGCTGAAGGCCCTGTAACACACAGATTTCAAAAATGGAAACAACGGAAAATTATTTGACCCTTATCCAAGTGAACTGAACTTGAGAGCATGTTCAGGGATAAAGGAGTCACAATGCCATTTCCCAACCTCTGAGCCTTGCGTGGCCCCTGATTTAACTTTTAAAATGTCAGCTTTGACATAAAGCTACTACTTTCAGATTTATAAAATAAAAATCTAATCATAACAGCAACATTTCCAGTAACACTTTCTCTTATCCAAAAGGAAGGCCAGCCTGCAAAGCAAAAAGTCAGCCAGAGCAAACTGATTACTATTTTCCATAGGACCCCATCCACATCATGCCATTTTCAGTAAATATTTAAAAACATCACTCACTCTGTGGATCTGCACAGTAGCAAATGAGCTGACTTAAGAAGAACTAGAAGGAGAAATAAGGAAGTGGCATTAGAACACAGCTAAAAAATCTAACAAATGGAAGGCAAAACCTTGCTAAAGTGCAGCTGAGTTACCAAAAGCAACAGACTGTGTATATCAACAAATATTTTTTAGTCTCAAATAGAGGCACAGAGCAGGAAAATAATTGCCAAGTCCCAAGATAAACTCTGAAGGAGTGTTAAGAAGCACTTTACCTGAACCACAGAGAAATGCATCATAGCCTGCCTCGTGAGGGCAATTCTTCTCAGCTGTAAGTGTCCAACAAAATCCTTAATCACACTGTGGAAAACTGCTCCACTGCAGAATCCTAACATTCATAAGATCCACCGTTCTGTTTGGAGATTTCTCCCTCCCACCTTCAGCTTCATTTCCTTCCTCACCTTGAAACCTTTACACCTAACAGAAAGTCTATGCTTCTACCAGGCATTTTCAAACAATACCACCAAAAAGGCAGCAGTTACACAAATGGCTGAAAAGCTCAGAAAGATGGGACATGAAAAATTTTAAGTTTTATGAAGATCTAAACCCACTTGTGTTGTCTACATTATTGATGGTTTGGGAACCATTTCAAAACAGGAGATCCTGTGCTGCAGAACAGCATGCTGCCAGCAGAGGCCAGGAAACACCTGCCTGACAGTGGGTATCACACCATATGCTGAACACAATCTCCTGCACACACAGCACCACTAACCCAACACATGAGCCAATGGGCTCCTGCTACTTTCTGAGACCTCCCGGCCATTAGCTCCCACTGTCTTCCATTCTGGAACCACTGTCTCCCATGTCCCCTCAAACCCCTTCCAAGGGCTACTTACTCTTTGCAACACCAAGCTGGGGTCAGTTTAGCCCAACTTAGTGTAAATACCATTTGTGGCATGATGCAAACCTGCCCTGCATCACCAATGGCAGCTACTAGGGACATACAGAACAGATGACCTTCTGGGAGCCCAGGCTTTGAGCCTGGACAAAAATGTGAATCAGCAGCTCTCTGCAGTTCAGCAGACCCACTGCTACTCACTCATGCTTTGCATGTGGATATCCATGGAGTAAAACAAAACCCTTTTAGCTACCTGACTTTGAAGATTTGTTTAAGAACATACCATATCTTGAGCAGTCACTTGCAAGAGTTATCACAGGGCACGTTGGATCTTTGGGATTTAGGTTGCTGCTGAAGACAAGTGGATGTGTAAGATTTTTGTCCTTCTTCATTATGGTCAGAGACACAAAATTACTGTTCCTTCTAGGCAGCCTGTCTGCTCTAATTGCACACTAAAAATGTGAACAGAACTAAAAATAAACGGAAAACTCCAAGAAAAGGGGTTGAGTAGATGGTTCTATTTGAATGGGGAACTCTGAAGGACAGATTAATAAACCCATGAAATGACTGAAATAAAAGAAAGAATATGCAAGTATAAAAACTCATGAGAATCTGCAGCCTGACATTGCTAAAACAAACAAAAAAACCCAGAATCCAAGTACTGTTTTTATAAGCACTAATTCTGCATCTCCTTTTTGGGAGTAGGGAGTGAGGGGAAAGAGGTGAAATTTTGCTTTACTTAGCAAAATTAACATCAAAACAAGCTAACCTCAAAAGAAGTTAAAAAAACCCAAAACAAACAGAAAACTACCACATCATGGCTAAGCTCATGAGATATGATACCTACTCATGTGCTGCACCTGAACACTGTATTTAGTTACTGCTTTGGGCTCAGTGCAGCTCTGTCTTGGGAGGTGGCATCTGAAATTAGGGTGTGTTTTCACTGAGAACTGAAACATTTCATAACAGAACATAAGTCTGTCTGCAAGCCAAACTTGTGATCAATGAAGTAATTGTGGTACAATATGAGAAGTGACTTAGAAGAAACAATTACTCCACGATTACTTTATAAGAAAGATTAAGAAATCATTTGTTCTTAAATGTAGAAAGACAAGAAAACATCTGAAAAACATTGAGAGGAAAGTCTGGACAAATCACTAACTTTGAAATACCATTTACAAGGATACAAAGAGATTGATTGCTGAAGGCTTCATAGCCCACTACTTACCTGCACAAAACCATATGCACCTCCAAAAGATTAGATGCTCGAGAAAACTGATGTTTCTGTAAAAGAAGAATGTTTTAGAAAATCAACCAAGACAGACCTCGTGGTAAGTGAGCTCATTTACTGGTACTGCTGATTCATAAAATGAGATCTAAAACCAGAAAGTCTCAGGGCAACACTGAGAACTGGTCCCAGTTCTGCAATAACCGGGCACTGGGGAAAAATATCCTCCCCTTTGAGTGAAATTCAAGCTTTAACTTCAAACAAAAGACCTTTGCATCTCACCTTCCAGATGGATTTTGTTACAGTCTTGGTGTCTATAAGGACAGGAAACAGGTTATGAATGTTCCTTTTAAACTCCTCATAGCTTTCTGAAAGCAAAACACATGTGGAGAACGACATAGTAACCCTGAAGAAAAAACAATGCTATTTCAAATTAATACAAAAGAGAGGTGAAATCAGAGAAATGATGCATTGCTCCAGCAGTGAGAGCTCCAAAGAGGCAACAAGCACTGCTGCTGCTTGCTATGCACTGTGGGTGGCTGAGGTGTTGAGAGACCACTGTGCTTACTGCCCCATCCCCACTGCAAAGGCAGCAGCCTGGGGACAGCAGCTATGTACAGCGTTACCTGGAAGGGGCTTGTAGAACTTGTCATGAAGATGCATAAGGTCCATCAGCATGTTGTGTCCCACCAGGGGCTACAGGAAGAATATAAACATAACAGTCCATTGTGACATATTTTTGAAGAGCGCTCAAGAGATAACCAACTCTCAGCATGCTCAACAGCTGTAATCCTTTCCTCCAGCGGACAGCACCCACACAGGCTCACTCAAAAGTCATTCACACGACAAGGCTCACAGGAGGACTACTGCTTTCAGAAATCAGGCTTGTGGACTCTCTGAGGAGGGTATTTTTTCAGCAGCATCCTATTTGGAGCAAAGGAGCTAGGTGGATTCTCAGTTCAGCTGAACACTGGAAAAATCTTCCAGTGATCAGATTTACACCCTCACTCACAAAGGCAGGAAGAGCCTTTGCCTGCACATCACCCACAGACTTCTGAAGCTGAAATTAATTCAATAATCTGCATACAGAACATAAAGAGTTTGCACACATAACCACACCAATGGTCCACATGGCCCAATAAACTGGTCTGTCACATGCTGAAAAGCATAACTTGCCCAAAAAGCAAGAATCTGCCCATCTTTCTTAGATGGTGACTCATACTGTACAACACAGGAGGCCACAGTGTTGAAAATCCATGCATCTTCCCAAGTGACATAAGAAACACACTGCAGAATGGGTCCTGGCTCTCTCTTCCCTGGCTGTTCTTGGTTTGCAGGAGTAACAGAAAAGTAACACAGGGAAATGTAGTCTTTGGATCTGTAATTCTGAGTATGCTTTGGGAGTGGGACATGATCAGTAAGATGTAATGTTTAACACTCATTTTTTCTAACCATGACTGCAATCCATCAATTCATCTCAGTTTCACTGACAACTAAACAGGACAATCACATTGAATAAGTTGAGTTATTTAATACAAATTACTACTTTATCTTTAATCATCCCTCTACATTCAGTGTAGGAATAAAGACATTTTACCTTCTTGACTTGAACAAGCGTGTGGAAGAGGTTAGTGAAGCCCCGGGCAGACAGAAGAATGAGCTCCTTCTGGCAGTAGTCATAAGGAGAGTCCTCCAGAAGCTGACGTTGCTGTGGACTTACTTTTTTCACCATTACCTGAAAAGAACAGTCACTGGGTATCTCAGCCCCCCATGCTTGTTGTATGTACACTGTGCTTCCTGGGGTTCAGTAATGCTGAGGATAAGTTCAGCTTATAGGCTATGAAGGATGGAGAAATAATGCATCCTCTGGGACCTCAAGACTGTATCACTTCTCTTCCATATGGAGATCAGTACTCCAGTGACAAGAGTGACCTGCTCTGAGTGTGTCATACTAATGCTCCTCTTGTTAAGAAGATAGTTCCTCCCATAATTTTTTTTTTAAGCACAAATAAACATAATCCAGATTAGCTTGACACCAACGTGCTAAATTCATGGCAACAAAACCTAACAGCAATCACACAAACTGAGTCCTGAAAGAGCTACACTTCAGGAGAGAAGGCTGGGTAAATCTATCACTCTGTTGACAAGGGTTATCAGACAAAAATAGTACTAAAAAAAAAAAAAAAGTCTTCTGTAATCTACTTCTAAGCAACTGACTTTTATCTTACTCATACCATGTTTTGGTTAGTCCACAGCCATAAGTTTAATTCAGAAAATATTGCACCAAAGTGCAAAAGAGCAGAACACCAAGCCATATAAGAGACAAAAGTCTTTGAAGCAACTACATGGCAGAAGTCAGCAAAGGAAAACCACAAAAAAAGCTAAAACTTGTACATTGTTGTGGAAGTACTAGAGGAGATATCCAACAAAGTCTGGAGACACAGAGAGGATCCCTCCAGAAATGCCCCAAGGAGAAACACTTCCAGCTCAAACTATTTTGTGGCTGTAGGACAAATATAAACCAAAGTTAGTCTCCTGGATCCCTTCTCTTGGGTTCCCACAATCAGCACTTCCCTAAACATTCCTATGTCATTGTCTACTCCTCCTCCTGGACCCTATCATTGAAAGTACAAGCGACATTTCAGAGTCCCTGCAAAGATGCTAATCCTTTCTGTCTCAGTAAGAACCCTCTTTCCAAATGGTCCATATTTCCATCTCACCTTCCCATCTCCAAGAGGTTGTGTCCAAACATTTTGGAGACCCTGTCTCAGAGCCAGCTGAACTTCAAACATCTGATATCCTGAGGCAAAAAATAAAAAAGCACGAGCAATAAAAACTTCAGAGTACAGACAAGCCTGTTTAGGAAATCATTTTTCTAGACAGAAGCACCAGATGTTTCACCCTCTCAAAAAATACTCCTGAATGTATGATCTTTGTACACTACCACACACAATGACAGCAAAAACCAAACATAACCCCCCAAAAAAGCAAAGCAAACAAACAAGGTCATAGTAAGAATTTCAGACAAATAAGCTTTTGTGACAAAACAGGACAAGGAAAAGACTAATTGAAAAGAGGAGGGAGGAAGGCTGCTACTCTGAAAAAGACTTGATGTGGTTTTGGAAGGTTTCAGAGCAACACATCCAGAAGCCACAAACAGGTAAGAGGTACCAATGCATCTCCCCTCAAAGCTGATAAGGAATAACAGAGTCCTCTTCTGATGCAAAAAGCATGCAAAAAGACACATTAATCAAGTCTTATTGCTTACTTAAATATGTATTTCTTGTCACGGGTGCTCACCATTGCCAGACTCTATTAAAGTATCAGTATAGAAATACAGAAGAGGTTAGGAAGGACAGAAATTATGTTATTCCCTGACCTAGAGGACTAAGATTTGGTTTCTGTAAGCAAAACTGTTCTCTGCTACAATTCCCTCTTCCTCAGCTTTGCTTTAGTGCTCCAAAAAGCTAACACGTGGTAAGTGGCCTGGTTACCTCCACTGGTATATACATGTATCTCCTCAGGGCTCACATCATTGCTCCAGAGGAGAAGGAACAAAGTCTGAAAGGAGACCCTTCTCCAATGGAAAGGCCCTTCTCCGAGGGGAAAAAAAACAAAACCAGATCAGCCAGGATTTAAAACAAGCAACTATAAATTCTCTAGTTGCTGCTCTGAAGAAGTACAAAATGGAAGTCAGTCACTACAAAGCATGATCCACTTCCACTAGAGAAAGACCCACCACCCCAATGGAGGAGAAAAGCAAACTCGAGAGATGAATGCCTGACAGAAACTGAGCCATAGACAGGGGCCTGGTAAAGGCAGGATGGGCACAGATGCTTTGACCCTCAACAGAGGTTAACAGTGGCAGCCCCAGAGGTTCAGAAGTGATGAAGCCACTCAAGAGTCCAGAGTGCCTGAGGGAGGCACCTTGTTGCATACCACTCAGGTCCTGTAAAGTCATGGTCTCCTCTTCCTTTGCTACAGCAATCCAACAGGTCACTTCATCAATTGCCTTCTTCAGCACATCCCTGTCCTGAGCACTAAAGCACGATCAGAGGGAAAAAGGCAGAGGTGAGAAGCTGCTCTTTACAGATAGAGCCTTGTGCTTTCTTGTGGGAATGCATTCCCATTATTTGCCCAACTCTCCAGATTGTATCCTGTAGTCTCAGTCTTCCTTCCTACAGACCACAGCATGCTGGAAGGGCTGGCAGCACAGTATTCAAACCAATATGCTTTCATACTCCTACAAAAAGTGATCTGAGTAAAGGTGAGCTGTCAATACAGTCAGTACTGAGGACCCACCTCTCTGAATAACCTCACCTGCTGACTTTCCAGCTCCCCACTAAGAGATGCTGAATAAGCATCTTCTCTTGTGCCTCATTCATGTACGGGATTCCATCTTTGAGGAACTGCAGGGTGGAAACAATGCCAGTTTGGTTACTATTCCCTGGACATTTTTGCAGCAAATTAGAGGTTAGCAGGTTAGCCAGGTCCAAAATATACTTCAAAGATGCTGATGTTCCTCATTCTTATAATACCCTCTTCAAAAATACAAACTGTAGGTAATCCAAGATGCATTCTTACATAAAAGAAGATTTGTTTACGTATAGAGGGAAGAAAAGGATTTTTAAGAACTGCTGCTCTGCTTTTACCTTTTCTTTAATAAGATCATAGAATGGTTTGTTGGAAGGGACCAAGACTATCTAGTTCCCACCCCCCTGCATGGGCAGGGACACCTCCCACTAGATCAGGTTGTTCAAAGCCCCATCCAACCCGGCCTTGGACACTTCCAGGGACAGGGCTTCCACAGCTTCCCTGGGCAACCTACTTACACCATCCTCACAGTGTATGATTTCTTCCTAATATCTACTCTAAATCTCCCCCTTCATCTTGAAACCATTCCTCCTCATCCTATCACTACAAGCCCTTATAAAAGTCCCTCCCCAGCTTTCCTGTAGGCCCCCTCCAGGTACTGGAAGGCCACTATAAGGCCTCCCCAGAGCCTTCTCCAGGCTGAACAACCCAAACTCTCTCACAGCTTGTCTTCATAGGAGACATGTCCCCCACTTCAAACATCTGATATCCTGAGGCAAAAAATAAAAAAGCACGAGCAATAAAAACTTCAGAGTACAGACAAGCCTGTTTAGGAAATCATTTTTCTAGACAGAAGCACCAGATGTTTCACCCTCTCAAAAAATACTCCTGAATGTATGATCTTTGTACACTACCACACACAATGACAGCAAAAACCAAACATAACCCCCCAAAAAAGCAAAGCAAACAAACAAGGTCATAGTAAGAATTTCAGACAAATAAGCTTTTGTGACAAAACAGGACAAGGAAAAGACTAATTGAAAAGAGGAGGGAGGAAGGCTGCTACTCTGAAAAAGACTTGATGTGGTTTTGGAAGGTTTCAGAGCAACACATCCAGAAGCCACAAACAGGTAAGAGGTACCAATGCATCTCCCCTCAAAGCTGATAAGGAATAACAGAGTCCTCTTCTGATGCAAAAAGCATGCAAAAAGACACATTAATCAAGTCTTATTGCTTACTTAAATATGTATTTCTTGTCACGGGTGCTCACCATTGCCAGACTCTATTAAAGTATCAGTATAGAAATACAGAAGAGGTTAGGAAGGACAGAAATTATGTTATTCCCTGACCTAGAGGACTAAGATTTGGTTTCTGTAAGCAAAACTGTTCTCTGCTACAATTCCCTCTTCCTCAGCTTTGCTTTAGTGCTCCAAAAAGCTAACACGTGGTAAGTGGCCTGGTTACCTCCACTGGTATATACATGTATCTCCTCAGGGCTCACATCATTGCTCCAGAGGAGAAGGAACAAAGTCTGAAAGGAGACCCTTCTCCAATGGAAAGGCCCTTCTCCGAGGGGAAAAAAAACAAAACCAGATCAGCCAGGATTTAAAACAAGCAACTATAAATTCTCTAGTTGCTGCTCTGAAGAAGTACAAAATGGAAGTCAGTCACTACAAAGCATGATCCACTTCCACTAGAGAAAGACCCACCACCCCAATGGAGGAGAAAAGCAAACTCGAGAGATGAATGCCTGACAGAAACTGAGCCATAGACAGGGGCCTGGTAAAGGCAGGATGGGCACAGATGCTTTGACCCTCAACAGAGGTTAACAGTGGCAGCCCCAGAGGTTCAGAAGTGATGAAGCCACTCAAGAGTCCAGAGTGCCTGAGGGAGGCACCTTGTTGCATACCACTCAGGTCCTGTAAAGTCATGGTCTCCTCTTCCTTTGCTACAGCAATCCAACAGGTCACTTCATCAATTGCCTTCTTCAGCACATCCCTGTCCTGAGCACTAAAGCACGATCAGAGGGAAAAAGGCAGAGGTGAGAAGCTGCTCTTTACAGATAGAGCCTTGTGCTTTCTTGTGGGAATGCATTCCCATTATTTGCCCAACTCTCCAGATTGTATCCTGTAGTCTCAGTCTTCCTTCCTACAGACCACAGCATGCTGGAAGGGCTGGCAGCACAGTATTCAAACCAATATGCTTTCATACTCCTACAAAAAGTGATCTGAGTAAAGGTGAGCTGTCAATACAGTCAGTACTGAGGACCCACCTCTCTGAATAACCTCACCTGCTGACTTTCCAGCTCCCCACTAAGAGATGCTGAATAAGCATCTTCTCTTGTGCCTCATTCATGTACGGGATTCCATCTTTGAGGAACTGCAGGGTGGAAACAATGCCAGTTTGGTTACTATTCCCTGGACATTTTTGCAGCAAATTAGAGGTTAGCAGGTTAGCCAGGTCCAAAATATACTTCAAAGATGCTGATGTTCCTCATTCTTATAATACCCTCTTCAAAAATACAAACTGTAGGTAATCCAAGATGCATTCTTACATAAAAGAAGATTTGTTTACGTATAGAGGGAAGAAAAGGATTTTTAAGAACTGCTGCTCTGCTTTTACCTTTTCTTTAATAAGATCATAGAATGGTTTGTTGGAAGGGACCAAGACTATCTAGTTCCCACCCCCCTGCATGGGCAGGGACACCTCCCACTAGATCAGGTTGTTCAAAGCCCCATCCAACCCGGCCTTGGACACTTCCAGGGACAGGGCTTCCACAGCTTCCCTGGGCAACCTACTTACACCATCCTCACAGTGTATGATTTCTTCCTAATATCTACTCTAAATCTCCCCCTTCATCTTGAAACCATTCCTCCTCATCCTATCACTACAAGCCCTTATAAAAGTCCCTCCCCAGCTTTCCTGTAGGCCCCCTCCAGGTACTGGAAGGCCACTATAAGGCCTCCCCAGAGCCTTCTCCAGGCTGAACAACCCAAACTCTCTCACAGCTTGTCTTCATAGGAGACATGTCCCCCCATTCTGATAATCTTCATGGCCCTCTTCTGGACTCACTCCAGGAGCTCCATGTCCTTCTTATGTTGTGGGCTCCAGAACTGGACACAGTATAGGGGTCCAGGTGGGGTCTCACGAAAGCGGACTAGAGGGAGAGAATCACCTCCCTTGACCTGCTGGCCATGCTTCTTCTGGTGCAGCCCAGGATACAGCTGGCTTTCTGGGCTGCAAGAGCACACTGTCAGCTCATGTTGAACTTTCCATCAACCAACACCCCAAAGTCCTTCTCCTCAGGGCTGCTCTCAACTCATTCTCCACCCAGCCTCTATTTGTGCTACTTCAAGTGTCAAGATATCACAATGATTCCTGTTCAAAATTGCTAAGTAGTGCTCTTATATAATTATACAGTCTGAATGTTATGGAAATGTGGCTATCTGTAAGATGCAGGTAAACTGAGAGTTCCACACCTTCCTAGCTAGTAAAAATTCCCACAAGGGTCTGTTTAGTAACTCCTCAGCTCACCCGAGATAGGTTTTCTTTTTTTGAGGTGGGAAAATCTGCCTTAGGCTGACAAAGATGTGGTTATTGCCTCTATGGCAGTTGAGAAGAACCAGCACTCACTCTCCCTGTTGATAATGAGCCACATGATACATTCATACTTTAACAAGATGCAAGTTACCCCAGAAATGTAAGGGATATTAATCCAAATGTCTCATGTAATTGCTCAGACTTCCTCTGTTACAGATTTCTGGCAGAGACATTACATACCTTATTATAGTCAAAGCCATAATGAGACAGGAACTGAATGCTAGATGCAGAAAGTGTGACTTCGACATCCTTAACTCCCAACGTGGAGGGA